AAATTCTGTTAAATTCAAGTTATTTCTGTGACCATTGTGGGTTTTTCTTTCATTAACCGAGGGGTACCAACAATTTTGCCCACGTGTGTACTTTGGCAAACACTTACTCAGAAGTGCTAAAGCACCAGTTGCTTCATGCACTGTGAACCTGGATTTTCGTTTAAAATCGTTTGCATGCAGCTGATTGTGTGAGAAAGCATGTTTATGTTTGATGTTTATATTTAAACCTTCAAAATGTGGTGGTTCACTGGAGTGCAATTTCTGCTGAGCAGTGGAAAGAGTACTAAGTTCAAATTGCAAAATGATCATTTTGTGCCCTTTGTCCTTCAAGGAGAGAGTCCCCACTAGGTTTTAGTGAACACGGCCACAGAAACCACAATTAAAAAAAAGACAAGCATTGGTATATACATTGTCTCTAGGTGCCACTGACATACGTATACAAAACAGAATTTTTATACATATATTGTACTTCAGTGTGTGTCACATGTGTACATATTTATATATACAAATGCTGTGTTTATCAATCTATTTTACTATGTAATGGGCTGATTATACATATGAATTACATTTTCAAAAAAGGAGTTTTTAATTGTTTGTCTTTTTTTAGAAAAGCAATGAATCTGGGTACTGTGCTGTAAGAGTCTGTAACAGATTAGAAAATACACAACAGCAACAGAAGATGTCAGCGTACAAATAAGAACCTCTGATTAGAATGAAAATGTAAAGAAATAAAATAAAAGAAAGAGTTGGAATGTTGGTTATTTTTTTTAAAAACGATTTAAAATACTGGTTGGTAAATAAAATACAAAAATAAAAAAAATAATTACAAGCATTGCAATATTGGTCATTAAAGAATGAAGGATTAAAATACTGATTGGTAAATAAAATAAAATTAAGTAAAAGCGTTGAAATGTTGGCTATGTTTAAAAAAAGCGGAATAAAATACAGATTGGTAAATAAAATTTAATTAAAAGTAAAATAAAATAGTTATTTAACCCCATCTCGCCGTGTGTCTGTGGACCTGCAGGGGGCGCTGTTGCTACGCCTCCGCTCCTTCATTTACAGGCAGAAAGAAACATGGCGGAGCGGAGCTGTGGAGGCTGCATCGGTTGAGCTGCTGGCAGTTTAAAGGCAACAGAAGGGCACTCAGTCACCGGGGAAGGAGGCGCCGTGTCGGGGAGGACTCTGCCTGAAGGATTGGGGCGGGTTGAACCTCTAACCGGGCATCTGATCGTGTTTTTTTTCCTCCAGAGGAGAGACGAGCGGCGAGTGAGGATTCCAAAAAACAAGTCGGACATGAACGGGGTAAGTTGGGGCATCACCGCCGAGACAAACACGGGTTAAAGGCAGCGAGCTGAAGTGGAATAACACTTTATTCCAGAGCGAGACGAACGTTTCTGCATGTGAAAATGTATATAGGAGATAAAAATGCCACAAATCCGCAGTATTTGCACTGGAAGTTGGTGTAGTTAATGTCGCTTCCCGTACAGGCTTTTTGTTGCTAACGTTAGCTGGTCATGAAAGCTGCATGTTTCTGTGAGCTGAGGACGGAAGAAGCATTTCCAAGTGTTAGACGGCACCAAAACACACATGCCTTTACATTTCTGTGGACGTTTCTAGTTTTGAAGCGGGCGTGTGTTTTGCTGTGAGTGGATTTGACTATCAGACAGTGAGGGAGGAGGCCTGTCTGTGCCCTGACTGTGGACTTAAAGGGACTGATGGGCTGACTGGAGGGTGGATGTGGGTGTGGATCCAGCGTGGTCCCCTCTCTGGCCCCACCCACACCATCCACTGGAGATCCAAAGTCATTCATTCCATGTTAAAATATTGATTTAAAGTCACATTTTAAATTTGTCGAACATAAACAAATGGCAACAATGAGTCATTGTGTTGGAGATGTTAGGGGTGAATTTCAATTATTTTATTTATTTATTTATTTTCGTACATTAATGCAGTACATACAGTTAAAACCAGAAGTTTACATACACTGTATAAAAAGACATACAGCCTTTTTTTTCCCTCAATGACTGACATTAAATCAGACTAAACTTTTCTTATTTTACGTTAGTTAGGATTACAAAAAATATTTCTATTTGCTAAATGCCAGAATAATGACAGAGAGAATATTTTAGAGAATTTTTTACTACTTTCTTCAAAGTCACAAGTTTACATACACTAAGATCACTATGCCTTCTAACTATTTGGGAAAGCCCAGATGATGACGTCATGGCTTTGGAAGCTTTTGATAGGTTAATTGACAACATTTGACTTAATTGGAGCCACACCTGTAGAGTTATTTTAAGGCAAACCTCAAACACACTGCTTCCTTTTTTGACAACATGGAACATCTAAAGAAATCAGCCAAGATATCAGGAACAGAATTGTGGACCTCCATAAGTCTGGTTCATCCTTGGGTACAATTTCCAGACGCCTGAAGGTTCCACGTTCATTTGTTGAAAAGTTTATCTTCGTGTGACTCCAGTAGATCTACGTGTAACAGTTTGGTTTCAGTGGGGCAGATGTTTTGGTCTTAACATACTTGAGTTCACTTTTTGTCCTCAATATTTGAGTCTTTGTCTGTTTCATGTAATGCAGGAATCACTGCATGTCCATTAACCCTCTGAACCTCAAGCAATTTCTGTTTTTTTCTATTCTTGTCACATTTTTGCTCCCTGTAGAGTCATTTTCACTGCAATATTGCACTTCTATAGAAACAGCACAACCATAGCTAAACGTTTTTGGGCAGCATGACACAATTATAATGCCATAAATCATTAAAAAAAGAAAAAAGTCAGTTGATTTTTTTTTTTAGTGCCCATGTGTGTTACCAATACAGTGAAAAACATGGTGGCTTTGTGTACTGTTGATATTCTACAACTTATGTTTTCAATTTGTTGCCATGCTGGTCTCCTGTCTGCCGTGTAAACACAGCCTGCAGTTCAGCCAAATAGTTTCTGAATGTTTGTGATGTGACTATTGGTTCCTGCAAAGTCTGTTTTTGGTGATTTACAAAAGAAAAGAGAGCGAGACATGTAGAGTAAAGTGATTCTGAAGGAATATCACACTTTTAAGCCCTGATTGGATTAATTTCCTAAATTTGCTCTTTTTTTTACGGCTTCTGATAAATGGTCTAAATTATGAAATTTTCTAAAGATACATCTTTCAAACCATTCAGCAGGTTTTGAGGCTGGAATAAGAAAAGTTTGACTCCTTTAGATGTAGATGTAAAAACTATTTCTGCACTGCAGTTGGTAAATAAATATATTTTGAAAATATGTTTTTTGGAAGTGATCATTTTTTTGAGGTTAGCTACAAAGAAACATTTATCCATAGACTCCCACCAATGTGAAGTATCTTTGCTTATTGTAGGCCTAAACTCAGCAAGAAAGTGAAAATGCATGCCTCCCAAAGGTTCCACTAAAGTAGACACGGCTTCTTCAGGTTACCACATTTTATGGATGATCATTATAGAGCTTTAATTAAACAAGCTTTCCTTCTGCTTTCACAGGAAATCGTATGCAATAGTCATTCAGTCACTGTCTTAAGCTGCACCAAGTCCATATCACCAGTTCACGATGAAAAGACGACCATCAGGCTGACTCAGGAGGGAAGGTGCTCTCCGATCTGCTCCCTGCAGAATGATGCTCAGAGGCAGGGGGAGGGTGAGTGTCTCTACGGATCGATCCACAGCCGAGGAGAGTCGATTAGTGTTCAAACGCTCCACAGGAGAGCAAACATATCGTTGGTTATTTTTACATTTCACTACGTTATGTAACAGTTTGCTCTCCATCCTGTCTTTCATTCCAGGCAGGACGACAAACACCATCAGCACTACACCAAAAGACTTGACGGCAGAGATGGAGAGCAGCTACAGCCAGTGTTCACCCTGCTGGTCAGATGAACAGCCGTCACCTCCGCAGCTCCACTGCCCTCAGACCCGCCTCTTCTCCCCTCCAGAACGCAACCTGTCCTTCACCAACAGCTTATCTCACGCTCCTCTCCACGCAAACAACGGCGGCGCTCTCCACGGACGCCAGAGGAGAGGGGCCCGGGCCAAGGTCATAGGAAAGAAAACCACACGGAGAATGTACGCAAATCCTTATTCCTCATCAGTTTCTATGTCCTGCCATTGTCGTACATGTGGGGCGAAATGTCACCAGACTTCCACCACTGTCACACTGTACAAAGAAGCTGATCTGATTCGACTTTAAAGCGCATTTCTGCATAAATGTACATATTAAAATAGGAGACAATAAATTGTGGCAACTCCTCAACACTGGAGCAAGTTCAGCTCCTTGCAATTCAAAGACAAATGATTCTCTAATTAATGAGCCAAATGAGTAAATAATGAGAAAACTGATGCATCCTGTAAACATGGAGTAGAGGATCAGATTACATTTAGGAGTAGCTTTCTGCACTCATTTGCATATTAACGAGGTAAAACTGATTTCACAAAAGTTTCTTTAACAGTTTAAGCTAACAAGCTAAAGCTACATTTGATTACGGGGTCACTGGGTGTAACACGTGACGACAAGCATGAAGTGTGCGTTCTATAAACTGTTTATTCAATAATCCAACTTAATGTTTACACCACCAAGTACCCATATGGATTAGATGCATATTTGATGTGCCTCGGTACATCATTTTGCACATTAATGAGATATAACTGTTTCTTTTAAACTTCTACATGTGCTGGTACTCCCACATTTAGGGCCTTAACTAATGATTATTTGAATTATTACTTAGTTCATGCGTTATTAAAAAAAATCCTTTTATCAGCAGAAAACGGGGAGAAAGAAACTTTGATTTGGATTTTTTTCTTTATAACAGTAACCCAGGAGACTGTCTGAAAGGATGAGAATTTAGTCAGATGAGAGCACATCGACCAACTAGTCGACCAGCAGACTACAGAACTACAGTTGATGTTTTGCGAGTGAGGCGTGACGAAGCCAGAGCCTTTACACCAAACATAACACTGTTCATATTCTACATGTACATAATGGTGTATTTAGTGTTTATTGGCTGACTGAGCTAGAAGTTACGGCAGGATATAAGACAGCATTCCATCAAACAACAGAAAAGCTGTTGGCTGAGCTGTAATTACTGCATTATGTTTCTTCTCTACAGGGGAGGTGGGAAAAACTCCCAAAACCGAAAAGTTACTGACTTCTATCCAATAAGACGAAGCTCCAGGAAAAGTAAAACGGAGCTCAAGGTAAGACGGACTCATTTTTATTACGTACATCTCATATAGGTTGATGGCATGACTTTTATTCATTACAGTGTTAAACAGCAGATGTTCTTTGAATGGTGGAATAACTTCTAACACCTTTCTGATGTACGACTGTTGTGCAGAGATAAAAAAGGAGTTCTCTGTCTAGTTCTATACTTTATATTCTTGACATAGATATCTCTGTCACTTCAATGTGAACTACAGAGTGCAATGTTCTGAAATCCTTCCAGGAGAGACTGTATTAGAATGTGAACCCAACCCTTAGTTTTTCCAGTTTAATTCAACAACATTTCTGACAGATTTCATCATCTGCCATAGATGAAGCAAATTCACGATGACTGGAGACGAGATAAAAGTGTCTCAGATTCTTTTTTTTTTTTGTGTGTGTGTGTGTGAAAGTGTGTTTGACCTCACTTAACCAAAACCTTCCCTAACCACCACCAGCTAGCTTTGTGATATTTAATTGTAACCTTCTTTAAGACTCCTATGAGAAGCGATTTCGAGGGAGACACAATCAGCCACGTAGTCGATGTATCACTGAATGTCATGGTGAGGATGAAAAGAGCTCATCTGAAAACAGCTTCCAAGCACCAGAACAGTGACTGTTAAACAGAAAGTAGCTGCACAGACCTGGACAAGCTGGAGAAGTGCTTAGATTGCTTTTTGTGGGAGAAAAGACAAACCTACAAGTTGGAGTCTTGACCCTGAACTGATAATGTGCTGAAAAGACTGAATCAACTTTACAAAGAGGTGTTGGAGAAGGTTGGTGTGGAGGATTATTTAATATTTGGGTGAATGAGGGGATTCTGTTGGTGTGATGCTCCCGTTAGTTGGTATTCTCCATGTGGATGATCTGGATGTGTATGTAAGTGTGACGGAGAGAAAACTTTTGTCTTCTCTTTGTTAGTGATACAGTGTCATGTTTCACTTTGTTACCAGTGTGAAGAAAAGAAGCTCATAGATGATCTCATCACAAACGGAATAGAGGATGGAATGGAGGTAGAGTTTTCTTCAGTCTGACGCACTCAGCGTCAAACAGACACGGGGGCATGTTGACGAAGCATCAGGGTCATCAGTTTATAATCTAAGACAACAAGAAGGTACAACTTGTGCTTTATTTAAGTTCCATATCAGAGGTTTCAGTAAGTTCAGGCCAGTGTGGATCACTTTTATGCAGAATATAAACATGCACAGAAAATTATAATTTTTTGTTTGTACTCTGATAAATGCACCAATACTTTTTTAACGTATTTTCAAATATTCAAAATGAATGCAAATAGGCCAAAACAAACGATTCAGAATTGTCCATTTTGCTTGAGTTAACATGTTGAAGTTTCCCAAGTTTTGTGGCACCGTGGCAAACCTCTGATTCTTGTTTGTAGGTGCAGTACATCGAAGGAAAGGGGAGAGCGGTGTTTGCTACACGGTGTTTCCAGAAAGGCGACTACGTGGTGGAGTATCACGGAGATCTGCTGCAAATCACTGACGCTAAAAAGAGGGAGGCCGAATACGCTCAAAATCCTGCCACCGGCTGCTACATGTACTACTTCCAGTACCTCTGCAAAACATACTGGTAGGATAAACCACCCCTTTTATACAGAGCCATAATGTATAACTGTGCTCCCTCTGTAGTCCGGAAATGGTAAAGATTTTGCACTTGGAATAAGTACAACAGTATTTGCATCAAACACGTTGATCAGTAGTTGTACATGCATACCAACCCTCTGAACCCCAAAACCTATCAGCAAGTCATGTTTTGTTTTTTTAAAAATCTCTAAAATGACCCCATTTGTGAGCACATGGAAAAATGTTGTAATTCATCTGTAAAACAAATCAAAGAAATCAAACTGTAGTGTTTTCTTTCGTTATAGTAGCTGGTATTCTAACTGTGTCACACTACACAGAAGACTACATAAAGTTCTCTCTACCGTAGTTGTGCTGTTTCCATAGAGGTACAGGACTTTATATTGGAGTGAATATTGAGCCCTGCTTGGAGTTTAGAGGGTTAAACACTTTTTAGTGTAAAGACTGATGTGTTTTGTTTTGTGTCGACAGTGTGGATGCCACTAAAGAGACTGATCGAATGGGTAGGTTGATAAACCACAGTAAAAACGGGAACTGCCAAACCAAACTCCACGACATCAACGGTGTCCCTCACCTCATCCTCGTCGCCTCTCGAGACATCGACAAGGGCGAGGAGCTGCTTTACGACTACGGGGACCGCAGCAAAGCGTCCATCGCGGCTCACCCGTGGCTCAAATATTGATTGAGGGGGGTCCTTCAAGAAGTAAAGGGAAACGTACAGTAACACTTGTGTTTCTCGTTAGCTAGTGTACAAAATGCCTTAGAAACAGAATGTGTACCCTTTTTTTTTGTTTGAGGAAGCTGGGTGGGGTTAGTTAGTGGGGCTGATCGGGTGGTTCTCACATTTCGATTGATGTCCATCTGCCGCGTCAGATGACACCTGTACTTTTATTTATATGTGTTTCTGAAACATTCTGGTTGTTTTGCAGCACATTTATTTTGTACATTTTGTATTACCTATAGACCAATGCTTCTACAGCATGCAGGTGGTAGTTGATGCTCTGCATTTTTATACTACTTTTTTTAATTAGTAGTTAGCAATACTTCTATTTATGGCCCCTGAGCCCCTTTAGGATCAGCAAGAATTATGAGATGCATATTACAAACTCTTTTTAAAAGAATATCTTGTTCAAGCCGTCAAAACTCACAACCTGTCATTGGTCAGTGGGCGTGTAACAGTTTGCCACACTCATGGTTCAGTTGGCATTTTGGGGTTGTTTCGAAGTGCAAAGCAAGCTTCTGCTGATCACGCAAACTCCAAGTATTAATTTAATATACAGAAATGCAGCTGTTTTTTTTTCTTACCATGTATTGTATTTTTTAATATTAAAGATACAGCATACATTTGACTAACTATGTCAAAAAAATTCAAATAATACAGATGTAATACCTCCAGAATATTCTGCTGCATCTGTTTGAATGCAAATGTATGTGAAGGTTTGTTGGATTAAACATCTACAGACAGTTTCCATTTCTCCATATCAAGAATTACACAGTTATCTTCCCACTGTTTTCATCTTTACATCGTTCACTTTAATTTTCCGTGCACACACAAAACCAGCCTGTGCAACCTGACCAGTGCCGACTTTTGTTCGTGGGTTTGGTGAACTGTTACACTGCTGCTGTACAGATTTTTATCACATCTGTTCCTCTTGCGCACAAAGCTTTGTTGACAACCAGATGTTCCATGTCAGAGTATTTAATCAGCTGATCCACCAATGAGTCTTTATTTTAGTAGCTTTTTTCATTCAGATGTGTTTTCCAAGAGGAGTTCTGGCAGTTTATACTTGAAAATGGTTACTCCTATTATTGTTATTTATCTCAAGTTGTCCTCCTTTAGAAAGTCACAGAGATAAATTATCTGTTGCTTTAAGGTGATTATTAATACATGTACACAGTATTTTTAGGGAATTTCAACTTTTGTTCATTATGGTACGTTGTTTTCTCACACAAAAGACTTTAATCACACTGGCTCTATATATATTTATAATACAGAACCTAACGATGTTTATACAAATTAATGTATCTCAGAGAAGTGGCCACAGATTCCTGCTGAGTAGCTACTGAAACCTCCTCGAAGTGTTAAGATCAGGATAAAGAAGGTGATAATATATATTTTTGTTATCATCAGCAAATCAAAGAAAAGACCAAAAGCTATTTGCGATTTCCGAAAAACATCTGGTCACTGCAGTTTTTAGCAAATGTGAGTCCAACAGGAGAAAGTAGTGCATTTATTGGGGACTATTTTTAGTTGCAGAATAATCGCATTTAGTGCTATTGTGAGCATTTGAGGCAGCACAGTGGGATTAAATAAAAAAACTACAGTGTCTGTTCACGGTAATAATAGTTTTTCAACATCAGTTCGACTATGTGACACAAAGGAATTAAGATAAATCTGTTGGTAGGTTATATTCAGTGTTGATTTTGGTCTTTTCACAGGATTTGTTGACTAACCAATTTAGAAAATCACCAAATTTATCCTTTAAATAATAAAATAATTCATTTAGCGAAGTTGCTGTTTAAATTTATTGGTTCAGTACAAGCTGGATGAATTTAAATGTGCGTGGCTCCTGCTAATTCCCAACGTAGAAGCAGTTCAGGACAAATCTGTTTCTACAAGGATATCACATTTTTGCTATGGAGAACCTTCTCTTATATGTGCCCTTCTTGTTATTGGTCATATTATCTAATTTTTACTAGTTGTTTTTATTAAGATATCATTGTTTTGGGGGATCCCTGGGCTTAAAGAGGTCGTCTTAACATTTTAGGACATATATTTTTTTGCTGTCTTGCTGAAAGCTGATGAGAAGATCGATACCTTCATCATGGCTGTGCACTCAGTAGGAAGTTACAGACAGGAAATGGTTAGCCTAGCTTAGCATAAAGACAGGAAACTGGGAAACGTCTAACCTGGCTTTGACAGGAAAGCCTTACAAAGACAAAGAGCTGCAACTACAGCAACAGTGAAGATGAGAGAAAAAAAGGGCTTTAAAGTTTTATTTTCATAATAAAACCTAAGAAACCATCACTATACATTTGAATCTAAGAGGTGCAGGAAAAACGTAATATCTGTATGTTAAAAGCGCAAGAATTCGGGTTCTTGATGTTTGTACAGAGGAGGTACTTTAACAAATATTTAACAAATATTATTCAAATTATTATTATTATTATTAATTCAGCTCTGTAGACCATTTGTGCCAACTTTAATAAATTAACCATGAATCAAAACATCAAAATGTTTGATTTAAAGGCAGCTTAACCCAAAAAAATCCACTGGAGTCTGAAGCTACAGTGCTGTGCAACGTTAGCTAGCCATTAGCATGTTAGCTTTTAGAAGGTTTTGTTACTTTTGTTTTGTTCAGGTTTCTTGACCATTTGTACCAAATTTAACACATTACTCATGGACTAACACATTCAAATCTGTGATTTGGAGACAGCCTAACTACTTAAAATTCACTGAGGAGTTAGCTTTAGTAGGTATGTAATTTAGCTAGTTAGCCTCAGATGGACTGGCTTTGATATTTTTTTCTGATTTAACTCTTGAGCTTTTGCACCAAGGAGCTAGTTTAATAAATTAACCAGGAACTTATTACATAAAAATGTGATTTGAAAGTAGCTTAACCATGTCAAATCAAAGTCCGAAGCTACCACTAAGTTTGGGCAGTTTATTATGTTAGCTTTGAAAAGGATGAGCTTTGTTGTGTTCCGCAGTATAGTTTAATATTTAAATTTTGTCTCATTTAAGTAATAGAATTGATTTAATAACTAAGATACTGGAGGATTAAAGATTGCCTAAATGTTATGAAACAGGAAAAAATTAGTATATTGGGTTTGGATAAATCAATGTTGTTCCTCCTTGTTTCCAGTTTTTATGCTAAGCTACATTAATAACCTCCTGGCTGTAGTTCATGTTTGCTCTACAGATGCAAGCGTACTTCTCATCTAAGCAAAAAAACATATTTCCAGTAATGTTGAACTATGTCTTTAAGCCCTCTGAATTTCATTTTTTTTTAACTTATTGTAGCAGCTTTGTTGGAATTTTTTAGAATGACTTGGCTGTTGTACTTAATGTTATCCATCCTTAATGCTTCTTTACAGCTTTTGAGGTTATAAAGATTTTTTCATAGAAAACAACAAGTTCAGTTCTTTAAGTTATTCTTGAAATATTCCGTATATTGTTGAATTCTGGGATTTTTTGGGGGGAATTTCTTGTTTTAATTTTAATCAAATACAACATAAATCAGTGTTAATACAAAGAGTTGAGCCAAGTGTATGCAAAGAAGTAAATTCCATGAAATGCACTGTGTGTAATGGACAAACATACACTTGGACCTTCCTTGTCAACACGTCCCCTGCCCCCTCTAACAGTAGCATTGTGTTACATGTGTAAATTGTTTTCCTATGAACTTTTCTTAACAAATATGTTACACTTTTATTCCGGATTATTCCGTTTTTTTTTATGTGGAACTAATGCAATAATATCCGAGGAGGCAAACCTGACCTGTTGGCCATTTTAGGACATGATAGATAGATCTTTGCTGTTGTAGCGTTGAATAAATCTTAATGCTGGGGTTCGATGAATAAAGATGTAATATGCAAGTAAAAGGACTGGGCTTCTGGTTTGTTCTTATATGGTTTTGTGTACGTGCACAATTTGCATGAAAGGATGGCAATCTGAGTTTATCATCATTCCATTTTGTTGTTTTTGCACCCAAGTGATAGATTTGTAAAGACCATGCCAGACACCTACAACTTCTATTTTTTCTCTTACTTTTTCTAATTTCTTACTTTTTTCTCTTAATTTTCTATGATGTCATAATTGAAACATGCATGTTCGTCATAAAGAACAATCATGAATTTGGATTCTTTCAGTATTAGAACTAATATAGGACAAAAAAAACCACCTTTTTATTAAGCCATGTTTGAACTGATGTTTAGATTATGTTTAAGCTTCATACTAAACACACATTTTCAGAAACTAAAACATGTTGCCTTTCAAACAAAGTCTCATACATGCATTTTAACCTCACAGTTATTTTGTTATGAGCTTTTCCAGTTGGGAATACTAAACTGATGAAAAATGGGGTGGATGTTTAAAGGTTAACCTGATGAACTTTACACAACTTTTCACTTCATCTATGAAAGTTTTGAGCTGCTTTCCACAATCTAAAGAATACAGCAGCTCAGATTTACACGCTGTTATAAATGTCTATCAATGGTTAACAGATCATTTATATTTTTATAGATCACTAAACATGAAGAGCAACATTAGGCCACACTCTAAAGGAAGTTTTCATTTTGGCTTTTTTTAATTTTCATTATGAAGCAATGGACTGTTTCACCTTTTCACTACTAGAAAAGATGAATAAATGGTCAAGTGACGTTCAAAATAGTCGCTTTTCTGTCGAGCAGCTATTTACAAAAGTAACAAAAACATTTTATTTTATCTTAGTGCAGTACTTTTGCTCACGCAGCATATTGTTTTCATGCAGGATTTAATTTCTTTGCCATTGTCTGTTTGCACCTGTTAATTTTATGAAGTGTTAATATGCAGGTCACAATAAGAAAAACATGCAAACACTGTAACATTTCAGACGTTTATTACTGAGGAGACATGTTTGAATTTAATAAAGCACTGATCCATTCATTATATCTCTTAAATATTCGTTTTAATGGTGTTCATAGAAGACTCGGACATGAGAGGTGGTCATCAACACTAACAAGGAGCTGAAGAACTGGAGTGACTTGATTTCCCTTTAAATGTTCCACAGTTTAAACTTCATGTCTGAACTGTGTAGATCCCTTTGACGTCCAGATACCATCTAGAATGAGATCATCTCTTTATCATGTCTGTGATCATGGAAAACAGGGGAAGCTGCATGGACGCGCACTCGTCTTTAGCCTCATTGTAGCGTCCTTGTCATTTTACGTTCATTTATTCCACCTCACTGGGTGAGTATAAATGAAGATAAAGTGCCACTACTGTTAAAGCACACCGAGTCACACCGCAGCTGCTCGCTGCCTCGGGGGTGAAGACAGCAGCTGTTAAAGCAAAAGCAGCAACCATAAAGTAGCACTTTTTAAAAAAAATGGAAAACCACACTTCAGCTTTATTAATGCTATTTTGACCAATTTTCCTTCCACAGTCTGAGAAACATTTGAACCCCATTGTGCTATAATCTCATTTTGCACTGTTTTCTCATAATATCTATCAACATAGCTTTGAACCATGGTTATAATAGAGGCCTTGTGCAAATGATGCAATAAAAACACAAGTTCTAGTAGTCATTTAAACAAACCTACATCTGCAACTGCATTGCTGTGTGTCAAAAGTTAGCAGACATTTTGGGTTATTATTGATGTTCTGTCATGCTACAGAAAATGCACCTGAAGGGTCTTTATATCTTTTCGCAGCAAGAAGTGTTAATAAAATGTACGTTTGGGTCCTTTTATTACCTAAGGACCCATTTAAGGCTCATTTACATGCTAAATTCATGAATAGACTTTACATTTTAAAGGATAAGGCTGGTGATATTTTACATTTTTTGTTCAAAATCAACAATGTGTGGATCATCACAACATGTTGAGACTTAAATAAGTTAAGAGGTAACATCTCACACAAGCTGCTATGTAGCTTCTTAGGTTTAATACTGACAGTGCTGCTTTTTGATACGTAGTTACACTGTGTCCTTGAGGCTATGAGCTCAGTGAGTTTGATCATAAAACCTTATTTGGTTCAGCTGCTGATACTAAAGTAGCTGTTAATATGAAACTGTCAGTTTGCATGATGCACAGCGAAAACTTTGGCACTGTTACATTTAAAAGACTGGCTATGTTTGTGGAGTAATATATGGATTTAGGTAGCAAATTAACCCGATACCTTTGCTGGTCTTTCATGAAACAGACATTTGTGCTCACCTAATACGAACTGTGAGTTAAAGAAAAGCAAACACTTAGTCATGGAAGCCCATTTCGGCCTCAAAAATGAAAGGTTGTGCATGAAAAACTAAAAATGTAAGTATGTGATAATCATATTGTAATGAGCAAACTCAAAATTATGATATAATAAGTCAATATTATGACATGCTGAAACAATTATGATTTAGTAAGCAAAAATACGAGATACTAAACCAAAACTAATCTAGTAAAGGAGAAGTCTAAATTATAGGATGCAAAGTCAAAATAATGAAACACTAAAAAAAATGATGCCTCACAAGTCAAACCTGCTGTATGAGTCACTACTCTGAGTTAATGAGATGCTAAGTCATGATACAGAATTCTCAAAACAATGATGTCATTAGTGACAGGCAACGCTGAGGCCTAACAGGTTCAAATTACATTCATCAAAAAGTATGATGACTCATAAAATCAAAAATAATGCAACACTAAGTCAAAACTTCGGTCAGTTCAATCACAAATGCGATATCAAGTCAATTTTATAAGTTACGACATAAAATGAGGACGACTCACTGAGTCAAAACTAAGAGACACAAAGCCAGAACCATGCCTCCCTACTTCAAATATGAGAACATAAATCATCAGATAAAGCAACACCTGATTTATGTCGTCGAATTTCTGAGACTAAGTCACCATTATTAAATAGTAAAGACAATTATGATAAATAAAAAAAGGCTGCTACTCAAGAAACTGATGAAGTAGTGCAATTACTGGTAAGTCAAACCTATGACGACTATGTCAAAATTATGGGATGCTGAATCAAAACCATGTCACACAAAGTCAGACCAGTGACTTTCTGTTTCACATATATGAGAAGCTAAGTCAAAATTATGGAATACTAAAATCAATGATGACAAACATAGGGTGATTTACTAAGTCTAATTTATGCACTACTGAGTCAACATAATAAATACTCAGTCAAACCTATGATGGTCTAGTAAGGCGATATAGAATAATAAATCTATGAAGAGTTAATATTATAGGACATTAAGTCAATATTATGGTAGGTAAGTATAAAGACAAAATAATGAAATACTATAAATAATGTTGACTAAATGAAATGTATGTTGTTCTATTAGAGTGGTAAGTTTATATTATGAAATAGTAAAAACATGAGGACTTAAAAAGAAAGTAATGTTAATTCTAAACTATGATGAGATATTATATATGTTCCTTTCCCATCATATTTCATTTATTTATTTGTTATTATTTTTGTTTGTTTTATTGTTACCTACTTTGTATAGTGTCTTTGAGTATCTTGAAAAGCATTCTATAAGTATTATGTGTTATTATTATTATTATTGTCATAGATATGAAGTAAATCTGCGTTGACCAAGTATGTCAATACAATACAATACTAAAAACTGCAGCGACTCACTAAGTCAAGATGATAATGAGTTGTTTGATCATAATTGTGCGATATTACAAAAAATTTGGACAAAATAAACTTGTGATGACTTAAGTCAATTTTATTGGGTATTAAGTCAAAATAAGCATGACTTAGTAAAGTCACAGCTGTGAGATACTAAGTAAGTATATAATACTAAACCTATGACTTTCTTACCATCTCAACAAGATGGTACACCGAGTCAGAAAAGTCAAAATGTGGCATAATATCTCACCATGTTCATTTATCATGATTATTATCATTTTCATCATGCCAAACCCTTCAGGTATTTAGTATTTTTTTAGGCAGAAACAGGCTTCCATATACTTGCTGCATATTACATTATGCATAATATAAACAAACCTTCTGCACACAGCTTTTAAATTGCGATTCTATGCAACATGTTACACAAAGGCCTCAATTAGATTCAAAGAGCTGCACAGTCTGAACTTGCAAAATGCTGGTGATGGACCGACTAATGTAGCTGCCCACATTTACACGGACCGAAATTTAAAATAAATTAACAGGACATAAAAGTGTTGTTCTCATTACTGTTTTCTTTGCAGGTTTGCTTTCTGCAGGGACCACAAAAATAAAGCCCACGTTCGTCATTTATCAGCAAACCCTTTAAAACTCAACAGAATATTTACAGTACACTTTTAATCCTCCATCTGTGCAGTAACTTTCGCTCTGGCCCTTCAGCAACTTATCATCATTAACCACCTGGATGCAACAACTTCCCACTTTCCCTCCTTCAACTTGAGCTTACCCTCTGCTCTGCACACGAGTCCTGTAAAAACCAAAATACTTTCTGGCGTTTTTTTTAAAGTTGCACTGCGTATATGTGCCATCTCTCACTGAGATATATTGTTGTCATGAGTTTAAATAAATTTTTAAAATAAATTTTCTTCAAGGACTTCTTTCTGTCAGTCCTCTCACCTCAAGCACTTGATACTTCAGCTGCAGTGTGAATCACTAGCGGTGGTTTGGTGTGCAGTCGAATGATGGACATGGAGTGTTAAGAGCTTTCAGTCCGGTCTGGTGACTACATGTGCTGTAACGCCTCCTGGGCTTGTTCTGTGTACACGTCGTCCTTCCCCGCCCACGAGCCGAAGCTGCCGTCGAACTGTGCGCTTCGCTGCGAGCTCCGCTGCTTGTCACGAGAGAAGAAACTAAACCTGAGAGAGGAGAGTAAAGAAAAGACACAGAAGGTGGTTTAGGATGCCGCGTACGCAGTGTTTGCAGCGACACATAAAGCAGTGTTAGAGTTATGGCAAATTTAATGGCAGCGGTACATCAAAACTGTGCTGTTTTTAGGAAATTAATCGTGAGACTTTTTGCATGATCACTTTGAATAATGAGATAGCATCTAAGTCACAACAGTGCTTTTGCATGTGCATGTGCTCCTGACATTTCAAATGAGATCCTAAAACTTCAACATCAGCAGAGTTCTGTTTTGTTTGTCATAAGTCCAGTTTGTTGTAACGTATATGTCTTCTTACTGACAATAATGTGCACAACATTAGGGCTGTAGTGTCCAGTTGGACCGGTCGATTGGTTGGTCGGTATGATCTTGTCCAAAAAAATACTCGTGAGTCGCCAAAGTGCTGCACTTCATTGGCATGTCACTGGAATGTACTTTTGATGTTCCATTAGACAGAAACTGCCCCAGTAGAGCTTCTTTTAGGACTGTTTGCAGTGGAGGAAAAAAGTACCAACTCCAGTAGAAGCCTCTTTCTCTCTAACTTCACCATCAACAAAGTAATATGCAGCAAGGCTGATTAGAGGGCAGCTCCTGTAAATGTTCACGCCACCTTGACCCTGCCTGAGCTCCTGCAGTGAAAAGCTATTTCTTTCTACAAGGGCAATAGTGGGCATGCACAGAATATGTAAATACAACCTTGTCCTCTAAGTGGACTAGAAAGGTAGTAGAATCACAACTACACATCCGTGGTGTTCACGGCCGCCCTTGTGCATGTCAACAAGAGAATATAATGAAGGTCTTATTTAATATTGGCTGAAAGTCTTGTCGGAATCACCTCTAAACTGACATCATGTCAAAGAAGTTATTGTGCGGCTTCATTTTGTTTAAACGATGGACAAAAAGTGGAGTGAAAACTTTGCAAACTGCAGTTTGTGTATCACAGCTCAACAACCAACATGGCGATCATCTAAAAACAGCAGCTAGCTTGTCTGTGTGATATTCCTCAGTAGTGATTGTGCTGCGATCACCGGTTGATACATTTGATTTGTAGAAATCATGAATATATGCAGCTGGTCTGCTCACAGTCTGTTCTTATGACTTTAGTTTAAAATGATCAGGTTCAAATCATTGAATATGCTGAAAATACTAGTTTTAATGTTGATTCATAATTCATGTAGGCTAATAAAGCTAGCAGACAGAATGACCTCAGTGCACTGTGGGACATTTACTTCATCTACAGAAAACAAGCAACCCACTGACTGCTTCAAGAGTCTTGAAGATTTTTTTTTGGTTCACCACAGCCCTATAGAACACAAAAGATCAGTACATAATGAGTGACATTAAATCTGGCTCAGGTCAGGTAATAAAATAAAACATGTTTAATCACTAACTATGAATTAAAAGTGCTTTAGTTTGTAAATTCCGCAGAATGATTTGCTGTGAGTTGCAGAGGTTGGTCAGTGAGGGAAAAGATGAGAAGACAGACTACACATCTATTCTGACTGGCTGATTTTTCAATGATCCACAATCATCCTACAGGATGACAATAACAAGACAGCCCCACAATCAGCCAATCAGAATACTAAAAAGGTGTAAATAGAAAGCAAACTCTGGAACATGCAGGGGGTGGTGGAGGCTGTTAGCTGAGACAGTGACAGACTCTGACTGAAGCCAACCAAGTATAGAGTCATACAAGCGACATGAGACGTCTGATTGGCTGTAAAGTGGGGTCATCTGGGATCAAACCAGCCGCCACCATCGGCATAATGGCTGTGAAGATCCTGTTACACAGAGGTAAAGACACAAACAGGAGGAGACACACAGAGAGAGGGAGAGGAGACGAACAGGGGAGACAGGGACCACATCAACCTTTGACCTCCGTTTGACCCAAACCTCATCAAACCAAAACAAGAAGTCATGCCTGAGTCATTTTAGTGCAGACAGAAAAAAAAACACTCCTTTACAATCTAATATATATATGAGATATGTAAACATTATGATGACATAGAAATGTGTAATTTGTGAAAAACAAGGCATCTAAATGCCATAACACAGTTACTGTAACCTCCCTTTTTTTAGGGTGTGTACTGTATACCAGCAAGTCATAACATTAAAACCATTTCCCAAAAACTGTGTATCAGCTCTGAGCAAGTCTATGGAGGCCTGAACTTCACAGATATCTAAAGGTGTCTTGTGGTATCAGGTACGAAAACATTAGCAGCAGATCCTTTAAGTCCAGTAAGATGCGAGGCGGTGCCTCCATGGATTGGACTTCTTTTTTCAGCACATGTCAAAAGTCAAGACCTTAAACTCTTAAACTATTCTTGAACAAGGCTTGCAGAGTGGTAGGGAACGCTTTACTGCTTAAAGAGGACATCAGGGAATACGGCTGCCATAAAGGGGTGTACATAGTCTGCAACAATGTTTAGCTTGGTCTCAACGCTAACATCCACGTGAATGCCAGGACGAGGGCCTTTGGAAGTTTCCTCCTATTGCTGCTTTCAATATTGAACCATGGTCAATATAATTTGGCTTTTTTTTTTTTTTTAACCAGAATTTTCCAAAAAAAAGAGACTATTTTATGTCAAAGTGAAAACCAGTTTCTACAAAGTCAGGACAATTACTTAAAAATGTTAAATAATTTATTGCATAACTGTTCACCTCCACAGGTACAGTCAGTTAGTGCTAGAAGTCATATAATAATTAGCACATCATCACAAACACACCATCCCCACAGTGGTGGTGGCAGCATCATAATGCGGAGATGCTTGTCAGCAGCAGACCCTGGATGGCTTGTAAATGAAATGAATGAATGAATGAAATGAAATGAAATGAAAAATACTTTATTTATCCCAGAAGGGAAATTCAATTAAAAAGTAAAGTAAAGGTCGAGCTTTTAAATGAATGCAGCAAAGTAGAGGGAAATCCTGGAGGACAACCTGCAAGAGAACTGCACCTTGGGAGAAGATGTGTTTTCCAGCAATGCAATAACCAGGAGCACACAGAAATAGTTTAAATACAACAAGGTGAATGTTCTGGAGTGATCGAGTCAGAGCCCAGATCTAAATGAGAATTTGTTTTGTAAAGAAGAATGGGGTAAAATTACAGTGTCCAGATGTGCCAGGATGACTGAGACCTATCCAAACAAGATCAATTCTGTAAATGTAACTAAAGGTGGATCTACGGAATACTGACTTGAAAAGGGTGAATACTTATGCAGTCACTTATTTTATGTTTTTTATGTTTTCTATACTTGAAACTACTTTGTAGAAATCTGTTTCACTTTGACATGCAAGAATCAATTAGCAAAGTTACATTGACCATGAATCACTGTTGCAAAGCATAAAAAGAGGAAAACGCCCGAGGGAGGTGAATACTTTTTTAGGCACTGCAACATATTTTCACTTTCGATTTATCTGTTGAATAGTTCCTCAATCAACTGATCAGTTGTTTGCTCTACAAAATGTCAGAAAATGGTGAAAAATGTCAATCAGTGTTTCTGAAACCCATAGATAGCAAATGTCCTGTTTCATTCCTCTAACCATTTTTTGGTAACTACCGCAAACCAGGAACACCCAACAACACCCGGTGTTCTGGAGATGTACTGGTCCGGTCGTCTATCATGATCACAGTTTGTCAGTTTCTCAGATCCTTACACTGCATATTGTGTCCTGCTGCCAACACATTAACTTCAACAACTTCCCAATATCTCAGCCACTCCAGCTCCCAGTGTAACCAGGTAATCAATGTGATTCACTTTACCTGTTGAAAGGTGAAGTGAAAAGCCAAGTTTCTAGTTGTTGTGGCTGTACCAGATGTGTATCATTGACGTGTGTTACTGGGTTAAATAGAATAGGTAGTTTTTCTTACAGTAATACGTTTGTAGATATGCACAGGAATATTTCTATAATGTAATATTTAACATCCATGTAATTCATATCTATGTACATTCCTTTTTTCACAACACTGAAAAAATCCTTCTATTAACTAATTTGATGTAAGACTCTGAAAATTAATATAATTTTTTGTCAAGTTTCACAATTCGGTTTTAAGTGTACTCCCTGTAAAATATTTTCATCTACATTTAAAGTCGCTTTTTATTTACAATAATTATATAGGCAGTGTATCAGCAGTGTCATGCAAAGCTGCAGTTACGTATTCTGATAAATTCATCTTACAATGTTGGACCACAGAAATAATCAAATAAAAATACAATGCACAGTTAGCAGCTACTTTTAGCCTGATGGGATCTGTTTTTAAATGTGTTTCCTGGCTGTTTAATCTTGAGTTGTGATTTGATGACTAATTGGAAACAATCACACACTTGAGAAATCTAACAGGAGCGTGAAAATATTTCCCTGTAGAGTCAGAGACAAATTTAGCATCTGTGCTCATCAATATGTAGTAAAACAAACAGGCACTGTAAACTTCAGCACTTTTAAAAGACCTACTGAATCCTGCTTAATTCAGCCACAAACCTGTACTCGTGTCTAGTGTTTAAGTCTAACGTATGCCTTTTTGTTTCCTGCTATGTTTAGCTTTATAATATCTTGCTGTTTATTTTCCTTTTATCTCATTGTGTCAGCCTCTTGCTCTCATAAAAGCCCTTCGATGGACGGGTGTTGCAAATTAGGATTCACTAGAAACACTTTTCTATTTACAATGAACACACTGTTTACAGTTTATCTATGTGCAGTCTGTACCAAATACACGATAAATAAATAAACTATCCAACAAGGTAAGTACATTTGTGCAGATGCTGTGCTTAAGTACAAATTTAAGGTCATTTTATGCTGCTAATTTTCAGATTAAGATTTTAAATCATTTTTAGCTAAACTTTCAAGGGGCTGAATACTTTTTATAGCGACCATATGTGAACATGAGCGCTCACTACTAATAATGCTTTACCAATTAAATCAGAAAAAAAGTGATAGCACCATTAAAATAAAATATTTACTTGAATCGCTTAATTTGATTGACCCATGATGGCAGTGATGTACTGAACCAAGTATAAACTTCCTGTTGGGGAAGCTTCAAAAAAAACAAACAGACCTAATTTTCTGCTCTCGTGAGGCGACCTGAAGCCACTGTGTTATTATTTCTAGCCATTATAGTAACGAATATGGACACTGGCATATGGTTTAACTTGGGGACTTTTGACAGGGTTGTTTAACAAAGATCTGAAAGTTAGAGCACAAATCTGAGTGCAGAAATCTGGCGAGCGTATAGAAGCAGTCCGGGAGCAATGAGCTGCATTCAAACTGAAGCGCAGGACATTTGTGCAGCGACAGTGTATCTGAGTGCAGACAGACAATATGGAGCAGATTTGCACTGAGCAGAAACAGAGAGGGCAGGGTTTTGAGGGAAAGCACTACAAAATCTAAAATGAAACAATAATGCTGTTAAACTAAAACTTCACAGTCTGGAAAAAAGAAAAGTAAGGATGTGGAACTTTGGCTTGTAATGGGGAATATCTGAAGAAGGCGGATGTTTATGTGGACATCACATGAATCAGAGCAGGATACTGTTGCAGCCGATGGTCTGGAGTTTTATTGAGCTCTGCTGTGTTATCTCCGGTTTGTTTTTACAGGCCAGACAAACACAGGAAGTGGGCGTTCCAATGTCCAGCTTCCGTTGACAACCAATTATGTCTTTTTTGTGGATAACACACAAAACTGATATTCTGAATTTTCATGGGTGATGTCTTTTTTTTTTTTTTTTTAAAGCTGCTTTCACTTGCTTAGCCCTCTAAACCCCAGAATCTGCTGGGAGCTTTGTAGGCCATGTTGACATTTTTTTGCTTTTTAATCGCCAACATTACAACATTTGTCAGAGTAAGAAACTGTAAAAACTGAAAGAATAGTTAGATGTTTACCTTTCCAATGGTCCTTCAACTAATTCTGTATGACATCGTGTTCCCTTAGAAAATATAACTGTCTTTTAACCAAAAAGTTTAACAGCATGACATTTCATGAAAATCCCTTTATTCTATATGTACCCGTAAAAAACTCACCAAAAATGAACAGTTTGCTCTAAAAAGAATCTATAAAAAACACTCCCTCTTCAGGGCAACTGAGCAGCCATGAATGGCGAAGCTGCGAGCTGCAGTCGTGATGAAAACTTTTCAGGTGAACTGCAGGTTGTCTTTACACAAAGCTGAGGGGAGATAGGTATGGGAACAAATCGGAGAGGCTGAGAGGAAAATTAAAAAACATACTTAAGAAAATGAATGTAGCATGGCTCAAAAACAGTATACGGAGGACTAAATTGTTGAAAGATACATCCTACGTGGTGAAATATCTTTGTAGAGTTAATGTGCAGAGTAAAGTAAAAAATGGCCAGTTTAAGGAGGTTAAAATCCTAAGCAGTAGAATTTCTATAGTTTGCTGAGCAACTATTTTTTTTCCAGGTTTGGTAACACTTGTGGGCACTTGGATGTGTTGATATGTCTTTCTAATTGTGTCAAATTTCCCAGTTTCCTTCTGGTAATGGCTGTGCTACTTGAATAGAGGTGCAGGACTTTACATTGCAGTGAAAAATGAGTCCACAGAGAGGAAAAATATGACAGGTGCAAAAGAAACGCTCAGAAAATGCTTGGGGTTCAGAAGGTTAACGTCTCAATATGAAGTCATTGAGAGTAAAATAGCATCAGATGGCAGTAGACTAGACACAAAGCTAATGTTACCAGCCTGAAGTAGCCCTAAATGTCTGGTGGAAATGCTGAAATGAAGCTACTTCTTGTATGCAGAATAACTCTCTAATATGCAAATGTTTGAACATGCAGGGAGCAAATAATCAGCCTCCACTCAGGGCATGCAAAGCAATCTCTTGATTCTCAATTTCAATTATTCACAAGATGGGAGGTGTCAACAGGCGAGTGTTTTCATGGGCAGATGTTATGAGAGTGAGTGTGTTTGCAGGAGTGTAAAAACAACATACAGGCGTTTGATTCCCGATTCTGGTTGAGCAGAAGAGCGAGACCGAGTCCTAAGTTCAGGGGAGGGAGACGGAGTCGGAGTGACGATCTCATCATCTGCTTCATCACTGTAAACACAGAGGCGATCAACAACATGCTGACACATCAGAATGTTGAAGAATTACACGAGTCTGTACCTCTTGTAGTAGGCCAGCTCCTCCTGCAGCAGGAAGACTTTGGCCTTGAGCTCATTCCTCTCGTGGAGGACGTCCCTCAGCTCCTGCAGGGTGAACCGGGGCCTGTTGGGGTCCTTTGGATCCAAGACTCCCGACTCCTCCTCGCACAGCGCCTCCTGCCGAGAGAGAAAAGCATCACTCAGAGTAAACTTCACCAAAGAAAGGAAGAAAGGAAGGAAGGAAGGAAGGAAGAAGGGAGGCAGGGAGGGATGGGAGGAAATGAGGATACCTTGGTGAAATATTGGAACACAGCAGGCATGTCCTCATCGCACATCGCCTCCTGGTGGCAAATGTTGAACTCTAAGTCAGACACAGGGCCTTTCTGTTTCCAATACGTGTGTTCTGTTGGCCCTTCCCTCCACCCTCTAACTAAAACTCTACATGTTTTTTAACTCAGCACACCAGAAACAATCAGTCTGTTACACCTAAAACACATGCAGATGTCACTCATGCACTGAGCAAAAAAACATTCTTACTAATGAGTATTCGATACACAAGGTCCAAGTCCAACTGAAATCAGATAAGCCTAGTGCTTTATTGTGTTGTTTATTGACATTTAGGACTCATGTCCATGTTGTCAATCAATTCTATTTTGGGGCTGTAATTCATCTCTATACACCAGCTATTTTGCAGCATCAGAAACTTAATGCCTCCTGGGTTTTTTCTCCCTATGCTCCACCATACTCCCACCTACTGTCCATCTCCGTCACCATGATTGCTTTCCTTTTCAGCTCTGGCAAACCAATCATCCCAGACTGACAAGACACATCACTGCTGGTGCACCAGTTCAGGAATGTCATCACAGACACCACATTCAAAACTCTGGTATATAATAAAACACAGAAAGATTTACCTGACTCTGATAAGCAAGGGTTTGAATATAATCTGCATTCATTTCTACGTAAAAGTTCCTCACCTGAGCTTTAGTATAAATGCTGCCATTTCTTTTATTGTGATGAAGCACAGCTACAATAAATGTCCAATAATATGATAAATCTTGCAGCACCAAAGACCAGTTCAAAAACTACTACATTTCAGTTGGACTTTAACGCTACTATATCTATTGTCAGTGTTTCAAGATCACGTAGCATGAAAGGACAACTTCAAGTGCTGTTAGATGGCTGAGCTGTTGCAGCGATCTATATTTAGAAGGGTCACCAGTGCAGTCGTCCAGAAAGTCTCACCCGGTTGGCTGTGGAGTGAAAACTCCTACTGACACTCTGTTAGTTCTCAGACACCCATGCAGAGTCAAATCAGCACTTCTCATGGGTCACAGAAATGTTAGTCCACTAGCTCTTTCCGTTTCTACCTGTGAGGCCGTAATTCCAGGTTTGGAGTTAGAGTCAGGACAATCACACCACTCTTAATGCTGACCAGCACTGCATTACCCAAAGAAACACTGCCTCGTCCTCAGCCTCCTCATCCCCGTCCTCTTGTCCCTCCGGGCTGAGGGAATCGGACAGGGGCAGCAGGGCTGGATCAAACCCAGCCGACATCAGCTGAGAAGGGCCCGGTCTGTCTGACCAGCCCTCTGCCCCCAACACCACCAGTGTTGCAGCTTTACCACGCTGGTGGGGTAGAAGACAGTTTATTATATGCTCACTGAGCGTGTTCAATAAGATGTTGAGCTGCTCCGGTAAATTATGCTCCTATGTTGGGTTTAAGCTTCATGGCTTCAGTGGAAAGTCACTGGGAAGGATGTTGGTTTGTTGATCAGATTTAATTTAAAACTGGTAAATTCAGCAGGAAATGCTTATTTGCTTCCTAACAGCGAGTGAGACAAGACAGTCAATTATAGTACAAATGAAGCTCGAGACAGGAAGTTGTTACCTTAGTTTATCACAAACACTGGAAACAAAGGGAAATGGATGCCCAGCTATGTCTTTTGGTAAAAAGTCTCTGAAACTCTAAAGCTCACTAATGAACATGTTGTATAATGTAATGGTTATGCTAAGCAAAGCTAACCAACTCCTGACTCTAACTTCATTTTTAAGCTACAGATATTAGACCTTTACTGGCCTTCTCTAACATAAATATTTCCCTAAATGCTAGACTATGCCTTTAGAGTATTTAAATTCATTTTACAATTACACAAAAATTTGGTTTATAGTCAGACTGTAGTTTGTATTTAAGTCATTAAGCTTTTGACTATATGAAGTACTGCTGGGAAATTTTAGTTTATTGGGATGTTTTTCAAACTACAGAACATAGAAGACCTGCATCAAACTACTCAGCTCACTTTCCTGCAGCAGAAAGTTTTAACAGTTAAGAAAAGATTTTACTCTAAAATTTGGCACAAATGTAAGAATAATTTTTTTTTTAAATTGCAGTAAAAAAATTGCGACTACAGCCCAAAATCTTACTGCAGTCTTGAAAAAGTAGTATTTTCCTTCTCATTGTTCTACAATTTTATCAGAAACCTACAAAATATGAGGCGCCTCTATAGCTCAACTAGTTGAGCAGGTGATCCATTGACAGGGGCTATAGCTCCCCGATGCAGCGGCCATGGGTTCAACTCCCGCTCACGACCCTTTGCTGCAGGTCTCTCCCCATTGTTTTCTCCCCTTTCCTGTCTATCTTTACAACTCTAAAATAAAAGCAAAACAAACAGGTTTTGGCGCCAAGTTAGCTGGAAGGTTGGGTAGCTAACATCTTAAATTTAAAATAACCCCAACAACTTCTCTGGTGCTGCGTTACCTCTGCAGGTGATGGCGGCTGAGGCGGGGGTTCCTCAGGGTTCTGTGCAGGCAGCTCCCCTTGTAGTCGCTCCCTCAAACGTGAGATTTCTTGCCGAAGAGCGCCGACCTCCTGCACTCGCGCCTGAGCGCTGGCCTCCAGCTCCACCTTCTGCTCGATGAGCGCTTTGCCCTGAGCCTCCACCACGGAGATTTTATGGCGCAGGTCGTGGTTGATTTTCATAAGACGAGACTGCTGCTGCTGGAGCTGCAGAAAGAGACAAACAGGGAAGATGAGGGCTGAAATATGGACTTTAAGATCAAATAAAAAGTGTTTATAGTTGCTCAGAATAGCCACACTAGAAGGTATAGTGAAAAGCCTGCTGTATTTAAAACTGATTTAAAACTGCCACCACATTGCCAGCAACTCATTTAACCTAAATCAAAGCAGCTTAGTGTTGCACATAAAGATGTTATCACGGTTATAGTGGTCTGATTGTCCACAACTGAACCGTTGGGTTGATTTTATAGGAAGTCCCCAGCTCTAAAAGGAATAGGTGAGAGGACTGGAATTAGCTACAGGTGAGGTTGCCAAGATGAAGAAGGTATGTGGTGATTTGCAAAGTTGTGCCATGAAAACATGTCCCAGTTACTGTAAAAAAAAAAAAA